TTGATATATCTCAATTTTGTTATCATGTGTAACTGTTCATTTAGGCGATGTTCCCGTATTAATTGACACTCCTTAAATCGGTTGCAGTAAGGTCTTATCTTTTTGTTCGATGTCACCTGTGTGTGCCCTGGATTGATTTTCAGGGACTGTTATAACTGGACGATTCAGGTGTGTCCAACAGCTGCTGCAAACGAGTCACCTTTCACACCTGTTATAAATTATATCTGACGTCTATATTTACTCCATTTCAAGTATTTACTCGATTTTTTAACAATAAGGCTAATAAATCATCTGCCAATGTTATCTTTTCTTTCGTAATAAATCATTTATATCACAAGGTTCTTTGTAACCTTCATGGGGACTTTTATAAAATGATTTGAAAATTGCATAAATTAACTGAGACGGTGGAAATATGTTTACGTAGCGATTATAAATGGAAGGAAGTCACGAACAGACAACAGTGACCATCAAAGTTCACCCGATCACCTCGTCGCACCTTGATGTTCCCCAAAAATGGCCGGTCATTTGCATCCTTATTAATTATCACGATCCAAAGGGTATACATATTTCCGACGTTGCGTAAAAGCCGCGTCCTCGATAAGATCATCGATTGCGTGCTCCTCGGGAAGCCCTTTTGTCGCAGGCATGCGTCACGCATGCAGCCCCCCACGACTCTTCTTCGGGGACACGATGCTGCGCCGACTTGGTCGCACGCACACTGACCTTCGGCAACGAGGGGCACCCGACGCTACTCATGGAAATTACGTCGTTTTCAATTAAGTTCGAGGGCGAATCATCGTGATAACGGACCGTCATTCGTGCGTAGTTCAGCTCCGTGCTGTTAATAACTCTCTTTCTCTCTCGTTCATCATTACGCTTTTTGAGGGCCCAACCATCCATGGGGGGCACGTCAGGTTTTTTCTTCAAGTTTTCTCGTCGTTAGCCAGTTTGACTGATGACCTGTTGTTTTTGCAACATTAAGGAACAGTTAGAGACTTGGATTTAGATTTACATTGAATCTTAAAATAGAAAAATTGTAATATCATCGGCGAGTTTCTCTAAAATTCGTAAGGTTACAATTTTCGCACGGATAGTAATTAGAAAATCGATACACGCTGGATGAAATCGCACCGGTTTACGATGTAATTTATACGCGTGAAATCGTGCCCGGCGTTTTTCGACGGCTCTCGTTTCGAGCGGTCGTTCTATTTTTACGCGTCTCGCGTATCCGTTTTTAATTGCGCGAAAGGGTTCGGGTAATCGCGCACGTCAGCCAGTGGACACCGCTTAATGAAAGCAAATAAAGTAGCCTCGGAATAAATTCGGGAGGGTCCACGGGTAGAGAGAGCGGAAAGAGAGAGGTTGCTGAAACGTTGATGTATATATTGACCCGTTGAACGGTTTGCGCTGCGGAGGGGACCTATATTGGACACTCTCGGGAATTAGGTTTCGCGGTTTCAATTAGGATCGCGGACGAGTTATCGCGATAACAGAGAACGAAAGGGGAGAGACAGAGAGAAGACGATTGCCGCGCTCGTTCGCCTCGTCGAAATTGCAACGAAGAGCCTTGCCGATGCGATTTCATTTTGATCGAACGAAATTCCACTTGACGATTCCACCAACGTTCCCCTCTTGCTGATCGATCGTATTAATGGACGATTTTTTGTGTGGATACTGGTACTGGTATTCAGCGGTCGTCTCTGTGTCGTCGTGAATCATAAGAGGATTTCTTTGAGTTTTTATTCTTTAAACGGTGTTGCAAATATAGGTGGAAAAGTTTGCGTAGATAAAAGAAATTTTAACAAAAATTTTCGAAGACTCGATGACGATTTACCTTAACGAAAAGTGATTACCGGGGGTTCCTACCCCTCGAAATATGTGCCAATTATGCGTTGCACCGAATTACTGGTAAACACGCGTCCAGCTATTATCCCATGTATATTTACGTGTCCTAGGCGTGCACGACAAAATAGCGGCTGGATAACGGAATGATCCATTAACCGTAGAAGAAGGTAATATGGTATTAACACGCGCGAAAGGGCGTGCTGACCTATCCCACCATGGGTGCCCGTATGCTGCCAAAGGGGAAAAGGTAATAGGGAGAAGGAAGAAGCCACCCTTTCTGGCCACTATGGCACAGTTAATTACCCCGCGATACGATATCTTTGTTGGAAGAAATTCCAGAGATATTATTTCTTTCCCACAGAGGATTAATAATTTATAATATCAAGAGGCCATACAAAAATGAAGAATTTTTTTTACGTGTGATCTGAGAGTGTATACTTAGGAACGAAACACTGTTACCCTATCATGCTACCTGAGATGTTTATTTAGCTGACTTGTTTTTTTCTGGTACTTGTATTCATTTACATTTTATTAATGAAAATTATAAAATCATGAGATTATTCAATTTCAAATTGATTTTTCTGCAAAAGAAAGAATTCAGTATCATAACGTTAGAGCGAACGCGATTCAAAAGCGACTTTAAAATTCATACTGAAACGTCGTTGAAAGTTCACCCTCGGTCGATCAAAATTCCATAAAACGTTCCGGGAAATCTCAAATTCGAGGATGCACGATTAATCGTACGAGGGAAAGGAGAATTTTTACTGTTACTCCGATGATCCGACGCGATGCGATATTTTGAAACGAGGTTCCAGCACGGAATCTCATCTAGAAACGCCTACACAGAGGAACCTGGAAAAATGTAGACGGTCTGGCTGGCACCGTCGATGCAGTTTCGGTGCAGCAACCGCGAGAAATATAAAATCCTTCCCGCGGCGACTTTGAATCGTGGAATTATTCAAAGTGTTTCACGCGGTTTCGGCCATGCCTGTTTCCCTCTGTTCCTCGCAGACATCTCCTCTTTCTTGTTCCTCCATCCAGGCCAGTTCCTCTTTCGAGCCATTTGCAAATGAACTTTCCATAAAATTTTATCACGCGACCGAGATAAAGGAGCACGTCACGTTTCCTTAATTTATACGACCGCGTTGTTGTCTCGCTATATTCTTCTCTATCCTTTGTCCACGAACGTAGAAAGCACGCGATATTTTAACAATTATAAAAATCTGAAATTTCATGGTTTCTTTCTTCCGTTTACTTGCATCTCTTAATTTTTTCATTGTCGCTAAAATTTTATCAGAGGATAATAAAGTTGAATCAATTCTCACAATTCTTATACAAAAGAAATTCATGAATTATTTTCAATAGAAGCTTCAGCCGCTAATTCCACAAAACCTGACGTTCCAATCGGAATACAAAATCAACTCCGCTCATCGCGCAGTCGTAAAGCGTGCATTGTTAAGCGAAATAGAACGGTTCGTTCTGTTATTTTCTTTGAAAAATTTCTTTTCCTTCGACGGTATCAATTTTATTTCTGAAAAAGAAATTTTCTTTCCCACGAATGAAAAGCTTACTTTAACGATTCGAACAAAATTCCTGAACGATACGTGACGATCGCTCGTTGGCTCGCACGGTGATCGCGCAACGGAAAAGCGAGGAAAGTGAACACGCTGGCAGCCGGGCCGAAAAATTTTATGACTTTTAATCAGACGAACGAGCGGCCGAGTGCCGTGACGCGAGTTCATTTGCGCTAATGAAATCACTGTTATCTCCTCGACTGCTGTGTCTCATATTGCGGCAACTGTTGTTGTTCCGCGTCGGATCCGTATTTGTAAAACGCGAGTGGCCATAAGTCTGCAAAGGGAGCAGAAAATATTGCCTTCCTCTCTTGCCTCATCTGTGCTTTCCATCGATTTCGTTTTGCCTTTGTTTCGTTGGAATTACGAGCTCGTGATTAATCGAGATTTCTGTTGATCTTGATACAAATCATATATTGAATTTTCATCGTTTCAAGAATCATAGAAATTTACAGTATCTTTATCTTTTAAAATATATTTCAATCGAAGGTATAATATTCAAGAATCAATGGAAGTAATCGGTAAAATTCAGCGAGCTCTTAAAGTAGTAACAATTTCTTCGTCCCTTCTATTTGCTATTCAACGACTGTTCCTCCCTGTAATTTACGCCTTGCACAAGCGCACAAAATTAACATACACCGTTCAGAAACGCGACTTGGATTCTGCAACGATCGGCCGTGGAACCGTTTTCCAGTATTTGCGATTGCCGTTGCATCGCCAAGTGGCTGCGATCCCGATTATCAGAATGCTGAACAACCATTCAAAACTCGTCGTGCAAGTAAATGATACTAGGTAGCGTTCCTAAGAATCCAATCCCGCTTTCTTTCAATTTGCAACATTGTATTTTATGGAGTTTACAAGATACGATTTTATTTGACTGCAGTTTACATTCGATCGCCATTACGTATGAACATTTGCATGGAAATATAGAATGAAATTTATGATACGAGCCTTTGCTTTAAACATTTGCATAACACGTGTACTTATATCCTTTGCATGGAAATTTGAAAAATAATTGAATTTCTTAGAAATTTCAATATCTACTTATTCAGTGAAATTACTATTTTGAATCCTCAATTGAAATCACGTTATCTTTAGTTATATTTAAAAGGTATTCAATAATTTTTTTCTTGATATCCTCTTCAATATTTCTATGATATAGGATTTTATGAAAAATATTTCCATCGGCGTCGATTTCCGTACGGGTTTCGACCACACAGAGCGCGCGTCTCATATTTATAGAGCAAATATCGCTCGGAAATATTTCTCGTGGTCCGGCAAAAAGGAATCGGAGAAACCGCGGCTCTCTATTGAGCCGCTGGATATTATTGTTCGTCGTACGAGTTTTCTCGTCGCGAATGGAGCCCAGATAAATCTTGCTGCCTAGCGGTGCCGTTTAGTCCACTTGGCTCGAAGAAAAGAATTTCTGTTTCGGGAGGATGAGAGTAGAAGCGTAGTCCTGCTCGTAAAAGTGATTGCAGAACAGAGAATTATGGTCGGTTTTGCTGGCTCCATAGACCGGTCGATAATTAATTAAAGCCAAGCAATAAGTATCTCGAAAAAGTATGTTGAATTATAGTTCTGTTCTTTTTTATCTTCCTTTTTTATTGGCAACAATGGACTTTCCCGTGGTTGTAAGATACAATAGTGAAAATAATATTTTATATCGAGTATGAGGAAAAGAGGAGTGCACGCTCGAGGCAATAAAAGCGATGCTAGATGTAAATCACGGACACTGTCAAGTCGTGGAATCATCCATTTAGAACGGAGAGGTTAATGATCAGTTTTCAGCCACTCATCGATTAGTCATCATCATAGCTGTGATCGCTTTTAATCCTGAGTTATTGCTCGTACTAGATGTATCGTTATTATCAGCGACAGTATCGTCCAGTTAGGAAATTGATGAGCTGTTGCAAATTTGATTAAAATATAGTTGACACGATTCATTAAATTATTTACGGTAATTTCCTATTAATATACTTAGTAGCTTATTGAATTTTCAAATTGGTAATTATTTTCTTTTTCAAATTGTAGTTACAAGTGATAAATACAATTTCTTTTCTACTAAAGCGCGTATAAATGTACAGACCGGAAAATCACGAAAGCCGGTATCAGGATATTTAATCGAGGATCGTGTGTTCGTATAACAGAAGAGAACAATTTTAGCTCGGTGGACGGTATCGCGTCGACAAGGTAATATAAGCAAGGTATTATCGTGATGGCGGACAGTGAATTAACGACAGGGCGATTTCGAGGCATTATATTGTGTCTAGCTGACAAATGGAGACGCCGTTATATCTGGTGGCACGTGTTGGTGGGTAATCAAGCGAAGTACCTGCCGGTACGACGAATATTTTAAGGTCAGATTTTACTATTTTCACGTGAGCCTACGCGGATGGCGTGCGACCAGGTATTATCGTATCCGTTTTCGTCGACGTTTACCTTCGTGCACCGTCCTTCCAGACGACGCGACGATCCGACGACCTTTCGCGGCCGCAGAATTCTCTTTCTACGAATCGGTCGAATTCTACCGGGAAACTCGTAACAATTTTATTATCCTTCCATGGTTATTACTATGCCGAGAAATGAATTTAATCAATTCGTCGTTTGTCCAACGCTAATAATAGTATGACATAAAAACACTTAAGAATTTAGAAACATAAAATGCAAGATTTCACAGTAATTTATACGTATGAGATAGAGTGTCTGTCAGACGTTTCTATAACATCAGACACGAGAGATGAACGTGAAAAACGATGCGAGTAATCTGCAGCATTTAATCTTCGCGTTTCATAGCAGAACAGTTCATCAGAAACGATGCAATTAACACAGGACGATGGCGTTAATAAACGCAGACGAACTAAAATTTTCCTCGTCGCTTTTGGTACTTTTAGCCGGTGATTAGCATCGAATTTCCCGGGGTAGAGCGTTTCAAATTAAGCGCCATCGCACCTGAGCTTTCTCCTCTGTGCTTGGCGAAAGCATTGTCGTATGTGCCCGGAGAAAGAGGCGTGCTCATATTTCACTGTCGCTCCGGGCTGCGATGTTCCACTCGAAGGAACATTAGACGATATTATATCGCACACACGAACAGGTATTACTCGTCCAAATAGCGCGATAATGTATGCTGAAAGTCGATCATTTTGCACCAGTGATTTCTCATGAATTCTGCGAAGAAAAAGAAGAAAATTAAAGAGGAAGGACTTTACGAACGCTCGTGCCAGACATGGGAATCTATGTATTTTGAATGTACCTTTTGTACGATCGATGATTCCATTTTCCTCGAAACAGGCCAGTTTCGACAGTTCAATCGTTTGATCAAACACTCGAGATCCCCGCCCATCGTTTAGGAAAATCCGGTTCACGTAAAGACAAGCCACCTTCGTTTTCCTATTTCTATTCTCCCTCTTTTCTCTCCAATTTCTCTGTCTATATCGAATTAAAGAACTCACCCCTCGAGCTGCGGTTTCCCCATAGAAATAGCCTGAAAATAAAAGAGAAAAAGATCCTGGTAATAATAGTGCTCGCGATGGGGTCGCTGCTCTAGCCACGTCTATTCAACCTGTCATTCGCGTTTTGCGGTCACCATTGTGATTTGCAATGGTAACCCTTCGCACATCCTGCCTATTGTCGCGAAAACGCCTGTTCTATTCTCTCTCTCTCCCTCTTCGTCCCTCAGTTCCTATTCCTTCCTTCACCGACGTCTCTTTTATACTCTCGTCGATTCTCACTTTTCTTTTCTAGTTTTACGACTGTCATTTGCCAACTTTATTTCACCCTTTTATTGCGTAATCAGTTTCAGTTTACACACCTCTGTTGTTTGTCTCTTCCGTAGTTTCCTCCTACGATGACGGTATAAATAGGATATCAATATTTTCCATAGTTTGTTCGACACACAGTTATTCTTCTCTAGCACTAATTTTTCTATATATCTATTTTCCTTCATCTGCTCGATACCGTTTTGCGTTCAATTCGAAACGGAAGCGTGTAAGTGCATAATTCCAACGGGTAGCAGGGTTCTCGTATCGCGAAACGGGTAAACGATCGTGTTCAGTCGCGCGTGCGCTTGCATACACGCCTCAGCATGCTTTGGGAATCGTGCGAAAATCGTCGTGTCGCCGTTTACGGGTATCCTCGAGCGGCCACGAACTGCACGCTCGACACTTTGCCTCGATCGGCACCGATGTAATTATACAGTTTACATTGACACGTAGTTATTTCTGTCTTGTTGAATTCGACCGTACTGGAGTACTCGCATTTCCTACCTCTTTTTTTTTTTTATTTCAAAAGAACACCATACGGTGGGCATCAAGGGTGGTTTGCTTCGTGGGGGTTTGATTTTCGTTTGGATTTCATGAAAAATTATAGGTTTATAATATGTTTGATTGATCGTTAACTGTTGGCGGCGGTTGCAGTCGGTTATTTTTTTTCTGGTTCGTTAAACTTGGTAAATAATTGGTTCTTAAGTAGAAAATATTTTGTTCCCTGGACGGAACGTTTCTTTTTTCCTGAAAGCATGGTTTCTTTTCTTTTTTTTTTGTGGATCGTAGGTTTGAGGAAATAACAGAAAGGAAAGTATGCGAGCAGATAGGCTAGGTCAGTTCTTTGGATGGTACAAATTGGGTCAAGAGAGAATAGCAGCTCTCCGGGGACGGTTTTGCATTATGCGTGAGACGACATATGGTTGCCGTTTGGATCTATACATTGTTGTTCACAAGTGTTTGCCCATTCTTTGAAGAAACATTCGTCTTTTAGAATCCTTCGCTTCGGTATTATTCGAGCGTTTTCAACGTACACCGGATTCTATTTCTTCAACAAAAATTTTCATTCAACCTTTGTAGCGAATTTTCAGCAATTTTATATCCATAGTTATGTTGAAAGTAAAAAAATATTACAAAATATACTGTTGAATAATAACGCAAATAATTAGTGTCCCGAAGGTTCGAAACATAACGACAATACTTGAAAATGAAAAAAATGTTTGAAATTATAAAAGACAGGAAAGGAAACAAAGTCTATGTTAAGCTCCTCCCGTTTCCTTTTTCCATATTAATTTCTGATTACAGGTTTGAACTGCAAATTGCCCTGTTTCGTGTCCCCGCTATAAATACATTCTCGTTTCCGGTCTTTCGAGTCAACCGATATGTTACGTCCAGTTCTACTTCCGTATAATTTCACGTAGCCCATCAAATTACAACGACAAAAGAATCCATTTCTCCTTCGTCGTTGTTGCATCCAATTTGAATCGAAGCACGCTCGTTAAATGAAACGAGTCGAGGGATGCACAGTGTTATGAACTTTGATTAGATTATGCCGCGTCTCCATGATGCTACGCAGATCGCGATCGAATTGCAAACGATACATCGGGGGGCAGTTGAGCGCTAATGTTTCCATGTTACACGATATCGAGTTAAATTGCTTTGATAAATCCATATGTATCATCGACCATCTTCAATTGAACCTCTCATACACAGATTATTATTACAAAACGTTAGAATATATTTACTTAAAAATATTAATAATCAGTCCCATTTCAACCCCCATGAAACTATCGAAAGGTTCTCCAAAAAAGACTTATCTAAGACATCGATTCAAAGACTTGTCCCTGAATTTAGAGGGTGGATAATTTATCGTCAAAGACGTCGCGTCGGCGTCGCCATAATGGCTAAAATTTAGGGTTGAATTGCAACGGTCCGCGATGACGAGGACACGAAGTAGGAAGCCGGCCCGGAGGCATCGAGGGTTAGATTCGTCGGATTCGGGGCGAAGTGCAGCCTGGCCGGTGTTATAGGCCGTCCCCAGAGTGCAACTATGCCTTTGGCTTTGATGTTAGCCCGCCGATGCAGTCACGTGATCGCGTGGACCGCCGTTATGCGGCGACTAATAGCGGACGAAAGCCCAGACAGAAACGAGCGGGGCATTATCGGGAGGGAGTGGAGCGGATGGAAACGCGAATCGAAGGCTGACCGCCAGGAGGTAGCTGCGACTGCTACGTAGATCCGGGGTTAACGGAGAGAGGATCGACAGGGACCGGATGTTCCGTGGATGCCTTACGGCAACCCGTTCGCGTATCCACTGATTCGGCATATCGCGAAATGTAATTATCGGGCCGGATTGAGCAGGTTCGAATTACTAGCCGGACGTGACGACCGGTCGCATAGGAAATTACTGCCGACGACAGTTTCCGTTTACTGGTTAACATTTGAAGGATTTCTTTTTAACCCATTGCTGTTCATTTATTTTCAGAATAGAACGAAAATTCGATTTTCAAACGCTTCGTACAGAGGATTAATATTTTTCGAATGGTATAGGATCAAAGGAAGATAAATGCAGTTTCTTTTGATTAATTCATTTATTTCTTGAACTATTATGAATTTCCAATATCTCAGTTTCTCTTGGGAATTCACGTAAACGTTTCCACCGGCGGACCACGTACATAATTTTGGATTTAGTGTCCACGTTAAGACCGTCCGAGTTTGAGGATCAGGTTCGGAGCTGGCGAGATACGGTACATCGTGATTTGTGGATGTCAATACGGGGGTTATGCGTGACGTATCTCACCGATCATAATTACATCCTGTTACTAGAGATCTGGGTTCCTTCCTCGTATACCTCCACGCAAGTCGTCTCCTTCACCCTCTTGACGTACTCCGAGTCCTTCCTGATTTACCGACTTTCTCTCGACTTCTACCTAATAACTCAATCATCCTTTTCGTCTAACAGAAATTGTCAAAAATCGAGGTTTTTGGCCTTTTAATTACTGAGAGTAATGTTTCTGGATTTTGCAACATTCATAATTATTAAAATCAAGTTACATTATCCGAATAATTTACGTGAATAAGCTAACAAGGTTACACCTGTTATAATTGCTGTTTCATGAAATGGTGATTATACATATTGACTCTAACAAAACACTTTTTTTACCCCTTAATTTTTTCTATCCGGTTGCTCTTACGCATACTACCTAATTACTAACTATTATATTTGTCCGATATTTCACGGTTTTATTGTTAAAATAAATAACTGATATTATGTTATTGAAAAATACAGGTAACGACAAGGGGTTGAATAGAAAAGGGGTAACAACAAGACAATGAAAGGATCCCTTTCGAGAGGCGGGACTTTATTTAACGTCAGTTGAATTGAAATTTTACGATCAACATTGCATATCATAAAACATGCGACACGCCTCGAGTTTCCAACTTTTTTTGTTGTTAATAAGGTACAACACGTCCTATAAATCATGAAGGAGTCGGTAAACGTTACTATAGTTCACGCGGCTCTATTAGGATAAATACGGTTATAATGCAGAGCTTGGAGTTAGAAAGGGTATAAACAGTCAGTAAATCAGAAGTTTCAACCCTTGGGTAGGATGGGCTGAATAAAACTCGAAACCAGAACGAACGTTTAACACTTAAATCGGTTTTCTCGTTCATTTTGATAGAACTTGTTCTTCAAGTAGACTCAAGAGACTAACAAATTAAAGTTTTTATTTAATTATTTTTCTCTCAACTATTCATACTCGCCGATTACCAGCAACGTGTTAACTAATATGTATTTATTTCCTTGGTTGTTAATTATTCCATCAAACCATCCCCTTTACCCCATAAATCATAGAAACATGATCGCGCGAGCATCTCGCAAGAATCAAAAACCAGAAACGAACCATCAAAACTCTGTTCTCCGCAAACAAATCATTCTCACCCCTGGTACACCGGTGACCCTAACCGAAAGAAGACAGCGTAGCTAGCTCGAAAAGAAGGCGAGCACCTCGTTCCCTCGCGCCTTTTCACAAGGATCGTCGAATTAATCCGCCATTAATTCCCGCTCGAGCACGAAAGAGCCGGTCTAGTGTGTAAACCTTTCTCTAAACAAGCGGCCACGTAACAAATGGCGCTCGGTTCTCGTTCGCGTCCATGTTCGTGGCTTTAATGCCCCGGCCATGTATGCATACGACCGGAAGGTGATTAATGCCGAAGCAGGGGGGTCAAGATCCAGGTCGATTAATCAAATTAAGGGTGGAAGCGCGAGATAAAACTCGCGTCGCTGGAAAAGTCCGGCTTCGTGTTAACGAGGCCGTTTCAGTGACCGTTGGTACCGTGAGCATCGCTATGAAAAATGACGGGCATGACTTATCTGTATCGAGGACTCGTCGTACCTCGAACCAAACCGTCTCCCTTTCGAGAGAGGCGTGACCCGACGGGGTGGTTTGTTCGCCGGTCAACAGGGTTTCCGGCGAACAGGGCGAACCGAAAGATACGCGACGGTGAGTAATGATTGGTCGAATTTCGCGACGTTTAAGTTATACTCGTGCTTCTCGTCCTGAGAGAGATTGGAAGAGAAAAAGACGGATCGTTCGAACGCGTGATGTCTGCAGGATTAATGTTGCCTCTAGCGCTGGACTCATGTTTAGGGATGATTCTCGAACGGATTTAAGGGTGGACAATGCGAGATTGATTCGTGCCTATGCTGCAGTTGAAGCACAAATTATTTGATGTTAAAGATGTTGAAGGGTTTTGAGATGATGGAAAAGGGTGAGGATATTATTGGTAGATTTATTTTAATTATTTTATCAGATTAGTTGGCTAAAATTAACTTAGGTGGCTCAGATAGGTATTATAAAAGGATTCAACTAGGTATTGAATTTTTCCTTGACAAGTTACAACCCTGTAGGTTTAACCCTTCATACGTTAAAAACTCGTGCGCGCTGGTTCCTCGATTCCGCTTCCTTTCACGTAAAATTGACTTGCACGTCAGTCCAGCTGACTGGAGGAGACAAGTCGTTGAATCTCTTCAAGTACGAAGCCTGGAAAGACGTTCGCATTACGAGGACAGCATGTAAATAAGTAATTGTGTCGCGAGATTAGTGACACTGATGTCTCTCGAGGGGGCTCGTCGTTCTTTTTAGAAAAAAAAAAAAAGGAACGACAGGCCATGACTTATCTGTATCGAGGAGTCTGCAGCACGTTCTTCGGCGAGTAGAGGCGTGACAACCGTAATACCGATTCGTTCTGGACACTTGAATGGGAACGAACTGGACACTGGTCAGTCCTGGGAGTGAAGGGTGCAGGATGAAGATCCTACTAGAGTCACGGTTTGAAAGCCAGCCAGGAACTGGTGATCGGAGATTAATGATTTACCACGTGATGTGCAACGATTTGTTACGTTGAATATTTTTCTGTTGAGCTGCTGTACAATTACTAATGGTTTTTATCCTTGGCAAACTAATACTTAGACACTATCAGTTAATTATCTTTGAAAACCTACCTCAATTGACGTCTTCGCGTCAAGTACAAAAAAGTAGTGTACAAGAAGTATTCAAAAAGTTATCTTCAATTTGCTTATCAGTTTACCTGATCATCGGAGCCTTTTGTACCCTGGACCATCGTGATGTCACCAAACAGATCCCCTTTTTTCTTTCGCTGTCCAGTTTGGATCTGTCAGGTGTGCGAAGGGGCTGCAAAACGTTGCCGACAAGGGGCTCTCGGTATTCACCTCTGTTCGAGGCAAACGATGCGCGAGATATGAACTCGTTACGTGTACGGAAGACTTAACTGATCGCCGTCAGAACCTGATCTCGCAGGGTGATGAGGGATCATCGATGGGTGCAGCCTTTTCAGCGGGCCGTGAGCTTGATGCCGAAACGAAGAAGGCTGAAAGCGGTCCTCGATTGTGTATAGAGTAGATGTCAGTGGATATTCATGAGGAGGATTATTGAATTAAAAGTTGGCTCGATCTCCTATTTGCAATAATTATTACATAAAACACAGATACGAATCCATCACCCAAAATATTTGGAATTCTTTCATTTAGCTAATTAGAAATACTGGTACCAAGTTATCTAAAATTAAATTTGATTTATTAAAAAGAAAAATACCACCTATAATAATAAATAGCAAAAGTATTAGAAATCCTGTTTCCTCCAAGTCAAAAAGAATTATTAATCACGTGCACCCTTTCTTGGTCCCTCTAATAACATTCATGGAACACGTATGTAGATCGACAGTGTACAAAGGGTTAAATATAAGAAGAGAAATTCTGTAATACATTCTGGGAGGAGGTAGACGGGGGTTCGAAGAGGGTGACGCGGAAGAGGAGAGAAATAAAGAGATGCAGAGAGATACGCGGAGGGCCGTATTCGCAAACACGCGAATTTCAAAAGGCACTCGACTAGACGATGTCCCCGGCGTGAGCGACGGGGCCCTTTGACGACGTATGCAAATACAGATCGAGCATGATAAATTGCTCTTGTCAAGACACCCGGTATTTCGCACGAGCCCATAGAAACTCGTTTCCATAGGGAACGGATTCCGCATATAATTTCACCGACGGCGGTTGAGACCTGAGAAACGCGCACGACTCTCCGCGTGCTTTCCGCTCGGAAAACGGACGAAACTCCTCGCGGCGACCCTTTTCGACGGCGTTATCTTCGTCGAGGGCGAGTTTCGATGGAACGCGTTTTGGGTGCGTAACCCGGGGGATGTTGATTGAATGTTGAATTCGAATCAATGGAATAGCGAAATGAAATTGAAAAATTCTTCTAAACAGGGGTAGTTTGTCTGGAAATCTCGGCCCGTTGCAAGGTTTAAGATCAGTCCAAGGAAAGAAAATTTCTAATCAGAATGTTAATTAAAAAAAGAAACTATATGAAGCATAGAAATTTCTCGAAGAAGGATCGGTACACAGAGGGATATAAAGATTCTTCCCAGGGTGTCGGTCGCCATTATTCACGACAAATAAATAGTCAGTCGTAAGAACAGTCTCAGTGGGTTAACACGGTGTCGCTGGACCGGTTCCAAGACGAGTGTGATGCAAATGAGCCGGGACCCCCCACGAGACCCGTTAATGAGACGATTTAGCCACGAAATCGTGGACCAAGCACGGCTAAGCGTCCACGACCGGTGGAGATCCGTATTAACCCGATATGACAGAGAGATAGATGTAACCCCTCGAGGAGTCGTGAAGGCGTGATGTTGCCACTGGCTCGACAAAAGGCGCAGCCGTGTTAAACGCGACATAAATCTTCTGTCCAATGGCCTCTCGTCGTTAACACTAGTGGGATTCGAACTAGTTCCCTCCGCGTGGACCAGTTTACACGATACCTCCACGCGAGTCTAACGACATTTTGACGGAACGTTGTATCTTTCCATCAGGAGAGAACGAAAAAACGAACATTGAATCTCTTGATTATTTTCACTTTAGTTATCTTCTCGTTCACTTTAAATGTACTTAATGGTGGTGGAACACGTTTCCGATACACTTCACGTTCAATTCCCCTTAATTTCAACGGACCAGACGTGACGCACTGATTTTCCCGACTTTCCAATTTAATCAGTGACCGCCGGTACTCCGCGAGAGGCAGCGATGCAACGAAACCGGATTCCGAATTTCTGATGGAAATGCAAATGTCATCAGTTCGTGTGTCCAATTTGAAATTAGGGAAGCGAATCGAGCTTGGTATCCGGAAAATTTTCGATACCGGAATTTCACCTCGTCGTTTCCTTCGTTTCTATATAGAACAGTTTAAATTCGTATCAAGCTCCAGCAATTCCTTTTGAAGTAAACGAAATTATTTGAATCGATTTTGTGAAAATATTTAACGGATTTTTTATTAATCTTATGGCACATTTCTTCATCTTCCAAGCACTGTTTCCGCTCGTTAATCCTAGATACATTGAATCACTAGAGTTTACCCGATTTCTCAAGGTGCTCGATAATTGAAGCCGTCGGAACCGGTAGCCCCGGGTCATCGATGCGAGCCAAGTAGCGAGGAACGCGTGTTCATCCTTCGTATCAAAGACGAAGCGAGAGTAGAGGAGACGAGGTGAGGCGATCGCATGGAAATTGAAACCGCAGAGGCGAGCCTCGGTTGATTCACTAGAAACCGTGCACCCGAGATTGGCTTCGCGGAAACGCGATCTCGCTCGGCAGACGACCCCTCGCCTGTTAACAGTCTAATTAAGATAGTAACCTGCTACTAGCGATAACGATGCCGTGAACCTGTCGGCGAACAGGCTGAGCGACGCAGACAATTTCGACGGATGAAACGCGACACCGACTTTCCCGCCGTTAAAACTGCACGAACCCTCAGGTGTAAATTGTAGGTGTTTCCTTTTGGAAAATGATCCTGACGGTATCATTGTTCCATTAGGAGTCTGAGAACGTTTTAGTTTCGCCGACAGATACTTGTTAACGCGAGACGTTCGCTTCCTATGCTCCTGCTATCGTGTAATTTCGGTAGGAGTTTAATTGCATTAACTTTGAATCCTGCTAAATCTGCACGATGCGTTGCATCATCAAATCTACATGACATTCGCATTTCCATTTCGTATACCGTTGAATACACGAGGGAGTTTGCGATTCTATCGATGAAACTTGGTTATTTCAAGTGGATCGAAATGGGCTTTGAATTGATAGCAATTTACATTATATTAATTGGGTCGTGGTGTTGTATGATTATTATAACAGTAAAGAATGATCTTAATTTATCAGAAACATATGAGGAAAGTACGACTTTCTGTACTTTCGAATCTTCGCATTCGTATTTCAGCATTCAAACGCGAAATCACTTCGACAGCTAAGCGATCATCGGAGCGTAAAATCATTAAACTCGCAGCAGGTACCGCGAAATCTTAGCGACTCGACGCGTTTCCCCGGTAATTCTCTCCAGCTTCGTTTATAAACGAATTTCCTAACGCAGTTCGCATTGAGAGATTCGCATCGTCGCTGGAAGAATTCCTCGCGTCGACGATTTCTCGTAGAAGATCGAGTTATTCGCGGAGCGACAGATCAGGAACGTCATTACTGGAATCGTTCTCGAAACGAACCACCCCTGTTGCGGCCCTCCTCCCGTATCTTTTTCACCTGACAAATCGGCTGAATCCGAGCGACGAGGTTCTTCGAAACTTATAGTATAACGACGCTTTCCAAGAGCCGGTGAAAAGCGAGGTTGGATAAAAAGAAGTCGAATAGGGTGGCGGTGAATGGAAAGCTTTCGGTTGGCAGGGTTTTAACGTGAAACCAGCAGCGACCATTTAACCGTTGCCTCGAATCTTTTCTAATCGCTCTCTCGAGCGTGCTCTGTTGTTGCAGATGGTCAGATTTCGGTCATTTGCATGAGATTTCGGGGATAACGCGTCGCGAGGGACGTTTCGAGTGGGCACAGTTCGAAAGGAACCCGTGTACCGTTGATAAATGGGGTTCAAGGTGTCGGTATTGAACCAGGGGGTGGAAAAGTGGAAGTTAATTGGACTCGCATGGGGTAAAATTGAGAGGGGGTGGTTTTGGGACGATGTAGAGCGGCGTTTATCAATTAATGTAATCATGTAATTAAAAAGTATGTAATCAATGGAAAAGTTGAAAGGGATAGAAGGATACGAGGGTGAAAATATTAATATTTAATACTTGATATTTCGAATTAATTGACCTATATTTGTATGCACTCAATTTATATCCTTTTTACATCTTTCTTTTTACTTCAACGAAACAATATTCTGTTTCAGGTTGATCCAGAATGAAATCAGCTTGATCGATATTCGCATCGCCTTATCGCTTCATCCCGCACGGGATCGAAAACACCTTGCAACGGTCTGATCGTTGAACGGTTCACCCTCACCCTTCGGCAATTTTTCACGCGATTCCAATCCCCGACAACGAAGCTGTCGGCTCGCCGTCGAGCCGGTCTACCGAACGTACGCGAGTTGGCTCGCACAAAAGCGCATCCTCGCGAGGAAATTTATCGCTACGGGACGACGCGACGTTTCTCGTGAAAAGTGTCGAAGAAAGGAGGTACACGCGGCGTCGGAGGGAATGAAGAGGACTCGGAGCAATCTTGTGAATAGGCGCGGCAGCCTTCCTAGGAAGCGTCGCGAATCAATTCACAGATTGACTCTACGCTGCAACTCGTACCCGATTTTCCAGCTTTCAGCGCGGATATCGGGCGTCTCCGAGCGGAAAACGCACACGCCTCGCATCCACGGAATATTCCCCCGGCTCTGTCCGGTTACTAAATGAAAAATCGACCGGCAATGGAATGCAATATACCCTTGATGGTAAGTGATATTCGAGCTTTGAAACTCGCGACCGATCGACTCGATAATAAAGATCGCGAGCGACACGCGAATCCTTTCGCCTTTATGAAAACTTCGCGCTTTCGATTCGCTGCGTTTCGCGTAAAATTCGTGGTAATTGAACCGTTAAGCGATCGATGGAACGACGCAACGATTTCTGCGATTCGATGCAACAAACGAATAGGGTTCGAACGATTCGGATAAATTGATTCGACGACAATGCGATTTATTGCTGCAACTGGTCCTGCGATGATTGATACTGTATCTGCTTTCTGAACACGGATCAACGATTGCAATGCCATGGTGTATGGATGATTAAAGGGATTGATGGATGGACGGGAATATGGACGAATTTGGCGAATGTTTTTAATGAAAGGGTACGCGAGTATAATGAATCAGATAAATGAAAATTATTAGGGATGAATTATTTTAAGGTTTATGGAGAATATTAATCATTCTATTTGTTGCTTTTCCTTTCATTTACACTCAACAATCATATTCGCTATAAAAGTTCAAAGATCAACGTAGAAACGTCGATGAAAACGTCAACCCGTTGAGAATGAATTTTCCAGCTAAATAATTCCGCTACCCTATGGGGTTGTGATTTAATATTCTCCTTTGTGACCAATGATCCCTGCCCATTAGCGGTAGTCTACATCATTAAAAAAAAAATGAGCATGAGCACTAGAGTTCCTCGTAGCGAAGCCTTTTCCGCGTGACAAATGGATGCTCGTTCGCGCGCGGAAACTTATCGCCTCGCGTGAATCCAAAGGTGAAAATTCCTGTGAAAGGCCCTTTGATGGTGTTGTGAACGCGCCAGCGCGGGGCAGGGCACGTCACGGGGGAATCTTTGTTCGGATCAATTCGCAGATCGGCACTCGCTTTCATTTCCCTCGTTCACCATCTTTTCTGTTCTAACGGTCGCTGCCAGGATCGTATTCCTCGTTCTTAGGCTCTTGCACCTTTCAGCTTCTTCTTTGAATTCATTTCGTTACGTTAGGATCTTTTCTTCTTCGCTCTAAACAATTACAATTGTTCTTAATAGCTGAAGACTATAAAAGTCTGTTCAAATACAAAGTACTTTAAGGAGATAAATATTTTCATTGGACAGAGTCATTTGTAGGTGATTTTTAGAATCGAAAATCCTCTCTCCATTTTTCAATCTGTAATTTGTGAAAAAACGTAATTAAAATTCTCTTCTAATCACGGCCCTGAGAAGGCATCCGTAGTTTCCTGGTAGAGCGATGTCGACCATGGGCTGGCGAAATGCAATCGCAACCCTTACGGAACGGTACACAGGGCTTCAGTCCAGGAGTGCACCCTTTACCGACGCGCGGCGTTGCAGAGGAAGAAGTGCATTCATTGAAGGGAGAGGGGTGCAACGTATCAGGAGGATTGAACCTCCTTTCCTCTCCCACCACCATCTCCTCCTCCTCCTTCTTCTTCTCTATTCTCTCCCTTTTCGATCCCCGGCTTCAACGCCACCTCTTTCCGCAACCTCCCTCCCGGCATCCCTTTCATCGCTTCCTCGGTCCCTTTTTGCTGTCAGGGACAGGACGTTGACCTGACCTGGTGAAACACATACGGAGGTCCTTACACGGACTCTGAACCTCGTGGTACGGAACGCGGAGCGCAGCTCGAGAGAATGCACGATGCAATCCCGAAGAGAGGGATTTTTACATGGGGTGGGTTAGGGGCAGAGTAAAATGGAACGGTGGTAATGGCGGTCGGTAATGGTGGTAGTGTCGCATTACGAGCACCGGTGTCGTCGACGAACAGAAGGTGGAACCTTGACTAGAAACGAGTAGAGGAGGATAAACGGGCAGGAGTCAAGAAGATTCTTATTGCGGCTGAATTCTTTCGTTTCTACCCCGTTTCTCGTCTGATCGCGAGTTTTACACCTTTCAGAGGGGTAGTTTATTTGCATCGTACTTCTGACAGGACGAGCCTATGTAAATTGTACGATTCATGTCCGCGTCCTCTTGAATCCTCGTCATCCTTTGACAGGCTTATCGACGTCGTTGGACGCGGACGAAGATGCTAGACGGTTAATTATTCAGGGGTTGACCGGCGAAACGTTTCTTCTTTAGGGTCCGTCCAGCGGCGTTGACGTTCTTCATGGGAAAAGTTTCTGAAAGCTTTTCTCCTCTGTTTCAATGCTAAATGTTTACTCAATCTCAGATTTACTTTTTTGATATTCTTACCTCACTGTACGTTATTTCTATTCGGAAGGAATATTCGAAGGAATTTCTATATTTCTATATTTTCTGTCGATTATCTTCGACATCGAGGCGGCTTTTTGATCCTCCACATTCCCGGTTCAACGAGATTAATCGCGACCGATCGCGACGGCGAGGGTCGCGAGCGGCTGAAATTCCGCGTCGCTACGCGTTATCGGTTGAAATCGTATCGGGCGGAATCGAGATTTCGCAATGCGTCAACGATACTGCGTGCCGAGCGCATTCGAGTGCATTGATCCGGTCAAAGCAGGGCGGCGCAATGAATGCGTTAAGTGCAGTCTTATATGGGAGAGTGGGAAGGGTGCACCGTGCCGTGTGGCCAAAGAGGTTAGGGGGGAGGGCAATGCAGGCTGAGTAAAGGGTGCACTGACTGAGAATCGGAAAGAGACGGATGGAATCCACGAGGGATGGAAAAGCTGGGAGGGAAAAGTGTATGGAGAGCGAGAGAAAGAGAGATCAGAGAGGCGAAGGAGAGGAGATCACCGTACATTATGAGTACACCACCATTCAACTCGCTTATTACTTCCTATACAGACGGATTCTTCTAACCAGGTCGGGACACGGTAGTTCCCTAACAATCCATCGCTCGAGTCTGCTTCCTTTGCTTCAAACATCATTATGGATATCGAATGACGTGTTCCAGGGTTGGTAAAATGGATAATGACACCGGAAATTTATTCTCTTACTTTCGATCATTTTTAATATCAGGTCATCGGCTAAATAATCTTATTTTATTAGTTAATCAGTGAGGTAACAAAAAAATTATTTTATTTTATTCCAAGCAATTGATACACTGGACTTTTGATACTTTTGAACGATATTAGCATAAAACCACATTATTAATCGCAATTTTTCTTTCTTCTTCATGGAAATAATTTCAACTCGCCCTATTCCCCTTTAGTTCCTTGCACACGCTTGGATATACAGCTACATGTATCGATAAGTGTTCGAGCTATGGAAATACACGTGCAACCCCTTTGATGCGTTGCGGTTGCGAGCCTGTAAACACGTTCCTTATTTCCTGATCCCACTGCGTTCGCCTTGTGGCTTAGTCGTGTACCGTTTTGCTCTCGATCAATGGCTACCCTCGTGAAGTGTTTTCGTTATTCGAAATTGCTGGCAGGAAGACGCAGAGGTTGTTCACCCCTCGAGCGGTACGAGTTTCTTACGTGTGTACCTTATTTTACTGTTGTACCTTTCGTTTATTCTCAACGTTCCTATTTATACAAAGTATAGTAGTTTCAATTTGAAGATTTTCAGAATATTATAGAGACAAATCATATCACCGGAATGTCATCGAACGTCCAAAGGTTCGTGATAAGTCCGAAGTAATCGTCTGTCTTATCCATGAATTTTTTAAGAAAGCTTCGAACCCCAAATCGTCGTCGAGACGTTGATCGTAATGAATAAATGATGGGGCTGAAAGTAGTCTCTGCCAGGGGTCAACCAACTCACAATCAGACCATTGTCGAGGAAAATTCTTTCATCGTTTGTTCTACGCGTAACTAAAGAAATATTCCATCGATGCATCGTCGTTTTATCGGTGCCTAGTGCAGTATAGTTTCTCGAAATGCCGCGAAATTCAGCCACTCCGCTCGACTTTCGGGTTTATGGTCGCGAGCTCGCGGAAACTGGCATCGCGAGCGAGAAAGGGACACCAGCCGCGAGATCCAGCCATGGCGTAGGATTAACAACCGGATAATGAAGTCAGTGTTTCATGCCCTGTGAAATTGCTCGCCCGCTCCGCTCGCCATTCGATTCTCGCTTTGATTGCGCTATGGGCGAAAGCGCAATGCCCATAAACCGGTCCACCGTTGAGCACCATCGCTGGAGTGGCCTTCCCTGTGAAAGCCACCCTTTAACCATCACCAACGCCGCCCCTTCTACCACCTCATCGGAGCCAACGGATTTTCCACGGTCGAAATTTCCCTGCTTTTCCGGCCAGGCGCACGTCGACGTGTTGCTCGCTTTCAAACGACGTCCAGCCACCATTTCGCTTTACAGACCTTTCACGCCGTATTACGCCGGGCTTTCCGCTGTTTTTCAAAAATTCCCGCTAAAGCTATTACCACCGGGAACGGCTGTTTTTCCAACGGACCACCGCCGGGCGAGATTCCGACCGGATTCGACCCCGCGCTCTCAATCCCATCCCTGCAGTTTCTCCTCCGTTTGTCGTTTGAATTTCGCTGGAACAATTTTTTTTTTATTTGCTTTGTTAGGGGTAAACTTGTGTTTAGAATTTGTAAATCGGTAAATAATAGAGATGATAGAATTTTATTGAATTATAGATTTTAATTATTAAACCAACTAAATGACGATATCTTTCCATATTTTCATAGGATCCCGTGGTCCAACTCGTTCACCATTAGCAGTGTCATAGCCGTTATTCATCTAATTCCAATGGATCCCGTAATAATGATCGAACGTCGATGCGACCGACAAATAACGCGTAATGACTACGTCGGTTTATGCAGGTAATTGCTTTTGCTCCGAGCCGCTTCATTATGATATAATGAAAAGAAAAGAGACAGGATGAGAGTGAGAGAGAGTAGAGCAGCCCCAAAATGGGGTATATCATCGTGGCTGCGGCGAGATATCGGGCTCGGGGCCACAATGATGATAATCATCGTCGTCGTCGTCATCATCGTCATCTCCATGGACAAGCGTCCGCGCACCCCTTGACGAGGGATCGGGACCGCCCTGAAAGCCACGGTGATTGCGACTCCTCGATTTATTGAACGG